TCAAGGCTTCAGGGCCTGTGTTTAGGGTTTCAGGGCCTCAGGGCCTGTGTTTAGGGTTTCAGGGCCCAGCGTTTAGGGTTTCAAGGCCTCAGGGCCTGTGTTTAGGGTTTCAGGGCCTCAGGGCCTGTGTTTAGGGTTTCAGGGCCCAGCGTTTAGGGTTTCAAGGCCTCAAGCCTGTGTTTAGGGTTTCAAGGCCTCAGGGCCTGTGTTTAGGGTTTCAGGGCCTCAGGGCCTGTGTTTAGGGTTTCAGGGCCCAGCGTTTAGGGTTTCAAGGCCCCAGGGCCTGTGTTTAGGGTTTCAGGGCCTCAGGGCCTGTGTTTAGGGTTTCAGGGCCCAGCGTTTAGGGTTTCAAGGCCTCAAAGCCTGTGTTTAGGGGTTTCAGGGCCTCAGGGCCTGTGTTTAGGGTTCCAGGGCCCAGCGTTTAGGGTTTCAAGGCTTCAGGGCCTGTGTTTAGGGGTTTCAGGGCCTCAGGGCCTGTGTTTAGGGTTTCAGGGCCCAGCGTTTAGGGTTTCAAGGCCTCAGGGCCTGTGTTTAGGGTTTCAGGGCCTCAGGGCCTGTGTTTAGGGTTTCAGGGCCCAGCGTTTAGGGTTTCAAGGTTTCAGGGCCTCAGGGCCTGTGTTTAGGTTTCAGGGCCCAGCGTTTAGGGTTTCAAGGCCTCAAGGCCTGTGTTTAGGGTTTCAAGGCCTCAACGCCGTGTTTTTTTCAAGTTTTTCAGGGTTTTTCAAGGTTTTTCAATGTTTTTTAAGGTTTTTCCATGTTTCTTCGGGTTTTTTCAGGGTTTTTCTGAGGAAGGGCTGCCCCCGCGACCTTTTCACAGCCTAATTTCGGTCAAGGGGGGTCGTGTTTTTGAATTTTAAAGGCAAAATAGTCTTTGGAGACCCTCCTTGCCTCAAACTCCGACCCCCCCTTGAGAGGGAAAGTTTGCCTCAAAAAACACCCCAAAAGGGACCTCAGGCTTGGCCTAGACCCGCAATGAAAATGCGAATTTTTAGTACTGAAATCGAGGGTTCTGGGTGGCCTCTCGTTTTCTGGGTTTTTGTGTTTTTCAAGTTTTTCAAGACTTTTCCGCGACCTTTTTCACAATGATTTTGGTCAGGGGGGGGGTCATTTTTCGATTTTAAAGGCAAAATAATCTTCGGAGACCCCCCCTTGCCTCGAACTCCGACCCCCCCATGAGGGAAAATTTGCTTCCAAAAACACCCCAAATGGGGAGTTTTTTTTTTTCTCCTTCTTTTTTTCAGGGTTTTTCATTTTTTAAAATGTTTTCAAGGTTTGAGCCTCAGTTTAGGATTTCAAGACCTCAAAGCCTCGCGTGGTTTAGTGTCTCCACCTCCTCGTTTGTTAAGTGGAAGTCATTCATTTTGTTATTGAACCATCCTAATAAAAAGAAGAAACTTTTTATTTCTTAATGTTATGGGAACTTCGGGTGGGTGGGTATTTTTCGATGTTCTAAACACAGAGCCTAAACGAGAAACTGCTCGACCAGGAGCTCTTGAACCCTAAACCCTAAACCCTAAACCCTAAGCCCCAAAGAAGCCCGGACCCCTTAGGAGCCTTGGCGGGGCGCGGCGAAGTTTTAACGAAGCAGGCTTCACCGCCTGGAGTGGGTTGAGAGTCCAGGCGTTCGGGCCGAGGGTTCTCTACTTGGGCCGGGTTTAGGGTTTAGGGTTAAGGATTTAGGGTTTTTGGGTTAGGGTTTAGGGTTTAAGGGTTGAAGGGAAGAAGGGTTGAAGGGTTTGTAAGGTTCAAGGGTTCAAGGGTTCAAGGGTTCAAGGGTTCAGGGGTTTCAAGGGTTCAAGGGTTCAAGGGTTCAAGGGTTCAAGGGTTCAAGGGTTCAAGGGTTCAAGGGTTCAAGGGTTCAAGGGTTCAAGGGCTGAAGGGTTGAAGGGTTGAAGGGTTGTAGGGTTGTAGGGTTGTAGGGTTTAGGATTAAAGGTCTTAGGGTTTTGGGACACGAAAGCAAGACCGTCTCATAACAGGGAGGCTCAGAAAAGGACGACACCTTCGGAGAACTGGCTATGTTGGCACACCCTAAACCCTAAACCCCAAACCCTCTTCACCACAAACATCTTCCCGGAGTGCTCCATGGCAACATGCTCCAGAGGATTAGCATCATGAGGATTAGTCCTGACCTTCCAGAGACCGAATAGTTAGGCTACTTGAACCCCTATGGGATATGAACAGGGCTTTAAGGGCCCTTAATTGGTCATAAGTCTTTTCAGGTTATGTTCCCCTTAGCTAAAGTTGGTATAGTAAGGGGGCCCCTACTTACAGGCCCTGGGAAGGATAGTGTAGGGTTGTAGGGTTGTAGGGTTGTAGGGTTGTAGGGTTGTAGGGTTGTAGGGTTGTAGGGTTGTAGGGTTGTAGGGTTGTAGGGTTGTAGGGTTGTAGGGTTGTAGGGTTGTAGGGTTGTGGGGTTGTGGGGTTGTGGGGTTTACGCGGTTCTGAGAAGGAGTCACGCTGCAAAGAACCACCAACCGGGTGGCCCTTCTGCCGGGCTCTCCCAGAGTCAACTGTAGCCCGCTTCTGTGAGGAGAATCGCCACAAACGAACACGTGTGTCCACCCTACCCTAAACCCTAAACCCTAAACCCTGAACCCTAAACCCTAAACCCGAAACCCTGCAATCATCAGTCAAGCGAAAGCTTCGCCGTTTGGGGCACCTGGGCGGGGTAGTCACCAAGCATCAACTAAACCCTAACCCTAAACCCTAAACCCTAAACCCCAAACCCCAGGCTCCAAATTATCAAAGAGGCTGGCCTCCATTGCACTGGTGGCCTACCCGCGCTTAGAGATCGTTTTGGCATATGGAACCCCGGATTAGGATCCTTAGGTATCCCTATCAACCCTAAACCCTAAACCCTAAACCCTAAACCCTAAACCCTAAACCCTAAACCCTAAACCCTAAACCCCCGTTAGGTATCCCTATCAACCCTAAACCCTGAACCTTTGAAGGTTTGGGGTTTGGGTCTAAAGTCGGATTGAGGGTTTGAGTGGCATGAGCTTCGTGCTCTTTCCCACCCTCTGGGGCTTTAATGCGTAGGTTCGGCTTTGAGGCTTCGGGGCTTTGGGGGCTTTAGAGGTGCGACAGGTTACCCTACACACCCAAAACCCAAAACCCTATGAACCCTAAAACCCCTGAACCCTCAACCCTATGAGTCCTAACCCCTAACTTAAGCAGCTGGCACCCTAGCCTAAACCCTAAACCCTAAACCCTAAACCCTAAACCCTAAACCCTAAACCCTAAACCCTAAACCCTAAACCCTAAACCCTACCGGCCTACCTAGATCACGAGTTGACCCGGGCGTCCTGCATTGCGCACGACGGCGGTGGACGCCCAACTGGAGCTGGCGGTAGACTCCACCACCGGCTCCAGTCCTGGCGCCCACTGTCCCTACGGCAACCCTTACGAGCTAGGGCTCCCTTACCATATACGAACTTCAATTAACCCTAAGGGTCCATGTAACTATATAGTATATACTTGGGCCTTGAAGGGGTTCCCATAGAGCAGCGGTTCCCATGGAGCAGCTTTAGGGCCCAAGTATATACTATAGAGGTACATGGACCCTTACGGTAAGGGAAATAGAACCTGAAAGGTAGGACTCTTAACCCAACTTAAGGGCCCTTACAAGCCTAGTTGCAGCCTTGACCCCACAGCTGCCCTGATATAGAGAGAGAGAGCGGGATAGTTGTGTAGTAACATAGTAGCTCTTCCCTGGGAACCAAATGAACCCTAAAGGGCCTAATGAACCCTAAAATTGGGGGGGTCATATGCCCTACCTACTCTGCTATGATTCTGATTAAGGTATATGAACCATAAACCCTTTTAAGGTTCATTTGGCCCCCAAGGTTCTACCCAAGAAGGCATATGAACCATAAACCCCAAACCCCAAACCCTAAAACCCCCGAAACCCTAAACCCTAAACCCCAAACCCTAAACCCTAAATCTTCTTCTGCCTAAGAAGGGGCGCGGCTCTGGGATCTTTGCCGCAGGCCTGCGCTCCGGAGCCACTCCAGCGCCGCGTCCGGCCCCGCCGCGCGCTGCGGTCGCCCAAGGCGGCCAGGCAGGGCGCCACACCTGCGGCTTACCCGAAGGGTCCAAGTACCGATTTAGTACAACATAGGGCCTTAAGTATTCAAGTACCCATTTGGTACAAAATAGGGCCTCAAAAGTACCCATTCAGTACACCATAGGGGCCTTATAAAGGGGTTCCCATATGGTGGCTTTAGAGCCCAAGTGTTTCCTACATAGGGACCCGGGCCTTATCAAGGGGTCCTTAAAGGGGTTCCCTTATAGTAGCTTTAGAGCCCCAAGTGTGTACTACATGGGCACATACAATATGGACTCTGAGGGTTAGAACTTGGTGCACTCGCTTGAAAAGGGTAAGAGTTTGGTTAAACCCTAAACCCTAAACCCTAAACCCTACACCCTACACCCTAAACCCTAAACCCTAAACCCTAAACCCTAAACCGAGTTGCGCAGAGGGGTGCAGGGTTTCCTTAAACCCTGAGGCGCCCGTGAATGAGCTTCAAAACGCTTCGGGTTTGGGGTTTAGGATTAGCGTATGGTGCCTTTGACACACTTAGCTACACCCTAAACCCTAAACCCTAAACCCTAACCCTTAAGCCCTGCTAGGGTTGAAAGCTTGGAGCGCCCTACTTTTTGCTCGAGCAGCGTACCGCCGAAAAAGCAACGCCATCACGATGCCTTCTGCAGGCATCAGGGCGACTGTGCACCCTCAACGCAGACTTTAGGATCTGGGGTTACAAGTAGGGGCCCCCTTACTATCTACTAACTCTTAGTTCAGGGAAAGTAGGACTTATGACCCCCATGAAGGGCCGCATTGATCCCAACTTGTACTACTAAACCCTAAACCCTAAACCCTAAACCCTAAACCCTTAACCCTAAACCCTTAACCCTAAACCCTAAACCCCACTGGGGGCCCCTACATGGAAGTGCGGGGCGGAGGGGGGCCCTACATGTATGGCTCTGTCCTTGAGCTCATCCATCTTCAGGGTCTCCAAGAGTCCACCTGTCTTCTCTTTGCCTCCCTTTCAGGTAGCCCTCGTACCAGAGGGCCGAATACCATCGGAACTGATAGCCGCCCCGACCTGTCTAGGATTTGGGGTTTAGGGTTTAGGGTTTAGGGTTTAGGGTTTAGGGTTTAGGGTTTAGGGTTTAGGGTTTAGGGTTTAGGGTTCAGGGTTTAGGGTTTAGGGTTTAGGGTTTGGGGTTAGGGTTTAGGGTTTAGGGTTCAGCCCCGACCTGACTGACATCTCTCGCACTCCGAGGCCGTGCAAAGCTTCTCATTTGCTTTCAAACTCACCTAGGCTGGCCCTTAAAACACTGTGTAAAAAATCAGAGTTTAGGGTTTAGGGTTTAGGGTTTAGGGTTCAGGGTTTAGGAATATGATCCTCTTAAGCCCAACAGGGGAAAAAGGAAAATGTCCCCAAAAACCTACCTAGTCACATAGTCGGAGCGATGGATCACGGTGGGAAGGTGATGCTTCTCCTCGGGCACGATCACGGGCTTGTCCTCAGGGTACGTCTCGGGATCCGCCTTTTGGAGCTCCTTGCCCAGCCACTGGACCCTAAACCCTAAACCCTAAACCCTAAACCCTAAACCCTAAACCCTAAACCCTAAACCCTAAACCCTAAACCCTAAACCCTAAACCCTAAACCCTAAACCCTAAACCCTAAACCCTAAAGCCTAACCCTAAACCCTAAACCCTGTGGAGCTCCTTGCCCAGCCACTGGACGTAGGCCATGAACATGGCCGGCGTCTCCACTTTGGAGCTGTTGATCCAGCGAGGGAGGTCGGCCATGGCCCCGTAAGCCCTAAACCCTAAACCCTAAACCCTAAACCCGAAACCCTAAACCCTAAACCCAACAGCCCAGTTATCCCAAAGCTCAGGAAGTTTGCCCCACATACACGGCCTCACCATCTGTGCCTGATCCGGTCTGCAACTCATGGTCTTAGGGTTTAGGGTTTAGGGTTTAGGGTTTAGGGTTTAGGGCTTAGGGCTCAGGGTTTACCAGGATGGCCCTCAAAACCCTCTGAAGAATTCAGGAACCTCTAACAAATCCGGAAGGCTCAGGTGGTCTTCGGAAGATGTCACTCTGTACATCTGGTCGTAGTGTCAAGGGAACACTGGACAAACACAAAGCTGGCAATGCCCCGAACCCTTCAGGTATGCTGGCCATCAAAAACATGCAAGTGACATGACATCCCACATGAACTCTTTACAAGACGGACTTTGCACTACGCAATGACCTGCCCCGGAGGTCCACTGTGATATTTCTTCTTTCGGGGATCTTGTCAGTAAGGATCTAAAAATGTTCCAAGGGCCGACCTGGGTTTAGGGTTTAGGGTTTAGGGTCTAGGGTTTAGGGTTTAGGGTTTAGGTTTAGGGTTTAGGGTTTAGGGTTTAGGGTTTAGGGTTTAGGGTTTAGGGTTTAGGGTTTAGGGTTTAGGGTTTAGGGTTTAGGGTTTAGGGTTTAGGGTTTAGGGTTTAGGGTTTATGCTTTGGAGGGTATAGGCATTGGCTCTGGGACATGAAACTTACACTGCTGGGTGAAGTTCGGATCCAAGAGGCTTCTTCAACATGAGCGTCGCGTCGTGAAACCCGGCAGCCTTCCCCTAAACCCTAAACCCTAAACCCTAAACTAAACCCTAAACCCTAAACCCTAAACCCTAAACCCTAAACCCTAAAACCTAAACCCTAAACCCTAACCCTAAACCCTAAACCTCGAACATATTCTCGTTATTGTGCGGTGGCCCTCGCCCTATAGCTCCAAGGTGCAAACCTAGGAACGGCACACATGCTGTTTCCTTGGCTGCACTTAGGAAGGTAGTTACAAATTAAAATTTTTAGCTGCCTGATTGAGAAACCCAATAAACCCAAAAAGGCTAAGGATCTAAAGTTACAGTAAAAACCCTAAACCCTAAACCCTAAACCCTAAACCCTAAAGCACCACAAAGTTTCGAACTGAGCTGCTGAAGATCGACGATGCGGAGGCCGTTTTCGACTTAGGGGCGATGGGGCCTAGAGCCTAGGGTTTAGAATTAGGGTTGAGGGTTTAGAAATAGGGTTGAGGGTTGAGGGTTTAGGGGTTTAGGGTTTAAGGTTTAGACGTAGGGTTTAGACCACCGACGAGACACAGCGAGTGGAGCTGCCACTGGGCAGGGATTTCTGAGGATGGCAACTGGGGTTGTTGTCTCATAAGTTGGACGTTCCCCCTTTTTCTAACCGTCCTGATGGGGATTACATGGGCCCTAAACCCTAAACCCTAAACCCTCCCTAAACCCTAAACCCTAAACCCTAAACCCGAGTATTGAAGCATCCCAAGGTTTAGGGGTTTTGAGGGTTTTGGGCCCTAGTCTGGTCCCTTACCCTTGCTGACAGGGATTTACAGGGATCCGAAGTATGAGCCCTTGTTATGTATGAAGAAGAAGAAGAAGAGTGCGCCGAAGGTAGCCCCTACTCCCCCGAGCCGACCAAGTTGCGTAAACTCCGCGTTGGGCGCGGCGGCCTCCAGGCGTTGCAAATTAAAGGAGCCCTCCATATAGGACTGCGCGGGGGTCCCCGGAGGGGCTAAGAGGCAGGTAAGAAGGCGAAATCAGGGCTCTCCATCCAAGAAAAGAAAAACAAAAAGGAAGTAAAGCTCGCTCAACATACGGGCGCCACCACGTAGGTGACGCCCAGACATCCGGGGCTTCCCGATAGGAATGCCCCAACTGCGGGGGTCGGCTCATGGCCTTCCCCCAAAGAGCGAGAACCCAGAAGGAAAGAAAGAAGGAACCCTCCAAGACCCACCCCCCCCCTCCTCCACCCAGCCCTGGATCCCATCTCCCCCGGGAGGCCCTAAATAACTCCCAAATCCACGCCGCGAAACAAAAACCTACAAAGCAAAGCGTCCCCCCCCCCCCCGGCCCTGCCTCAGTCGCGTCCCGCACGCTCTCGACCACCTCTGGCCCCGCCTTTGCCCCCGCCGCGTTGCCCCTCCGACCCGCCTGCCCCCTTGCCTCTGCCATGGCCTTTGCCCCGACCCCTTTCCATGCGCCGCGTTGCCGGGCCCCTGTCGGGGTATATTTGCGTCCCCGGCCCAACTTTTGCCCGTGCCAACACGAAGAGGACCCAGTTAAGCTCTTTACGCACCCCCTCGAAAGCCACCCTGGACGGCTCTCCCGCCGCCAGCCGCACCGAAAAACTGCCCCTGTTTCCTGGTTGTACCCATTCCACCAAGCCCTGGCTTTCGACTGTCCCGAAAGCCCTGGCCGCCGCCATCCGTGCCTCCACCGTCGGGCATGCTCTCTTGCGGTTGGAAAGGCTTTGTGCGGTCTCCTGAAGGTGGGCCTCATCTGCCGGACTTTCGACCGCTTCTCGGACCTCCTCCACAAGAACTCTCGCCGCCCTGGCCCGGATTTGCCCTCGGTCCATGCCCCCATCCTCCACCTGCTTGAACAGGGCCTCCAGCCCTTTTGACCCTTCCACCCGTAGATGGCGGTACGCCACCTCCCGTTCCAGCGCCAGGTCCAGTCTGTCCAGCCTCTGCCCGTGCTCCTCCTGCCTTGCTGCGAGCTCGCCCACTCGGTCTTGTAGGTCTTCCAGCTTGCGTTTCCGGTCCCCATCGCGCGGGGCCATTGCCAAAGTCAGGAGGCACTGCTGTTTGAACCACCAAAAGCTGCCGCGCAGAAACACATCATCCGCAGCCCATAGTCCCTCCCTCCCCCGGACTGTTCCCTCCCTGCCCGGAACCCTCCCCACCCCCACCCGAGATGCCGGTGCGGCGCTTTGACAATTTCCCGATAACCCCATCCCGCAGTGCCTCGTTTGCGTGCGAGTACCGTTCATGGTTTTTTCTAGCTCCTATGCTCCCGAACAGACTTGGGCAGTACCGGCATCGAAGGTTGGCATCTCCCCCCCCTCTGCAGACGGGCTCGTGCTGCGCTAAATCCCCGAGACGGAAATCGCGCGAACATGACCTACATGTGCCAACCTCGTGTCCTGTCCACGCCCGCTTTGCCCCCCCCTTAGGCTTTGCGCTAGGCGTGCGTTTTGGTCGGGCCTTTGGTTTGGCTTTACCGGAGGCTGTGGCACCCCCTGCCCCCCTCGGCTTGCCATGCAGAGCTGGCACAGCGTGCTCGATCCAGCGTGCGCAGTGGGGAGAGACGCGACCCATGGCCCCGCGCCGCGCCAGTGCATCCGCTATCTCGTTCCCCCGATTGGCACTGTGCCCTTTTACATGTTTAAAATGCAGCACAAAGAGGCGTCGCACCGCACTTACCAATCCTGCCACTGTCTCTGCGAGGACCTGATTGGCCTGAGCCCGCGTGAGTCTGGTCGCCACCCCATACGCGTACTCCGAATCATAGTACAAGTACACAGTTCTGGACCACTCTGGGGGCATCCGCTCATGGAGGTCCATCAGGTATCTGCACGCTTCACCAATGGCAGATAGCTCACCTGTATTGTTCGTGTGCTCGGTTGCTCCCAGCCACAACTTATCATACACTTGCGTCAGCACCGGACCGTACAGGGCTGCCAACCACGGGTCAGCTTCCCTCCACATATCCGTTTGCACCTGTCCCTGTTGGCTTCCGAACACTGCTACCCCCCATCCCGCCGACGTCCCTCCCTCGGACCCCCTGGACCCATCAGTGTACACATGCAACTCCTGCGGCAATGGAGGCTGCGCGACCGCGTCCTCCCACCCCACAAAATCTTCCACCGTATCCACGGTCCGCATGCGCTCTAGAACTCCCACAGCTGGACAGACGTGACCCTTCAACTGCCCTGCCCGCCGAAACGTTTCTTGGCAGGTTTGGCACGTGAAGCTTTGCACAGTGGTGAGCGTCGGATCACATATGGCATGCTCGGCTTCGTAGTGAAAGGACAGTTGGTTGAATTTTCCAAACTGCTTTTGACACACAGGACATGTAGGCTTGCCCTGACCCCGACCAGCTCGGCGGTCCGTCCGCAGTCGCCTCCGGCGTTTTTGACTCTTGTACATCTGCGTCTCGTGTCCCGGCGCATGACCCTTAAGTCTGATCCCCAACTCATCTTCACTACACTCATGCTCCCGTTCTGGTTCTGGTTCGCCCTGCACCGTTGCCCACTCAGGCACCGGCCTCCCCAAACGCCACTTGTCCAATTCCCTTTCCCGCCCCTGCAACACTACCTCCACCGGAAAAGCTCTACACACCTCCTCCCGCCACTTACTGCGATTTTGAGCTTTGCGGAACCAGTCCATTTCCGGGATCCCTGCGTGTCTCAAACATGAGTTAAGCCACTGCGCCTGCTTAAAAGGGCACCTCATCTTAGCGCCATGCCCATCTATCCAGCCGAACAGGACCTGTTTTTGTGGAGCCTCAACCGGCATACGCGCCACGTGTCCGAGCCACAGGAGGCTGGCCCTCCGGACTGCCGTATCAAATTTTTCCCACTGCGCCAGGTTTCGCAACACTTCATTAGTGATACCTGCTTTTCGCAGATCCCGAAGGCGATAGCCTAAACACCTCCGGATGGCTATGTGTATGACCCCTTGCATGCGCTTGATCTGGTTGGTCTGCCACGCGCGCGTGCGCGCAAAGCTCATGAGGGTACCCTTAATGATGGCCTTCAGTACTTTGATGGGCGTAGACACGCTGATGTCAGTGCGGGCGTAATGTTTTGTGCGCCCTCGGAGCCAAGCCCCGGACACCTCAGACACTTTCCCCGCCGCCTTTTGCGCCCGCTTGTGTGTTTCCGCCGCATGCCCTGCCCGTTCCGCCAACATGGCCCCCACGTGCTTTACCGTCCCCGCCTCCCCTAGCCAAGGTACGTCCGTGCCCGGTCGCGCCTCCCTCATTACTCGAAGACCCTCTGTTTTCTCCTGGTTGACTTTGCCCTCAAAATCCCGTATTGTCTGAACAAGTACGTTTTCCGCCCCTCTTACCTCGGCCGCTTCCCCCATGATGCCCGTGTCATCTGCATACGCGAAATCTCCCAGACAGACCCGTTTGATATTTCTGCCCTCTTCGATCCTGTCCAGCCGCCTTTTGCCCACCTTCCCGTCCACCTTGAAAACCCAGTTCAACCCAGGCGTCTGTCCCTCCTGCTCTGCCCTTCGGGACCGTCTGGCCCTAAACACTTCCATGACGCAGTGGTGATAGACATTGAACAGTATGGGTGAAGAGGGACACCCTTCTCTGAGTCCCCGCTCAGGCACAAAAGTAGATGACAGACGCCCCTGATGTCTGACTTTGCACTTTGGATCTTCATGGATCCCCCGTAATACTCGCAAAAAAGACATTGGACAGCCCTTCTTCTCCAGCGCCTTCCATAAGGCACCTCGTGCCACTTTAGGGTAGGCTTTTTCTAGATCATAAAAGCGGAAAAGGTAAACGCGATCGTGCGCGGAGTGCGCAGCTTCTTCCAGGACCCCCCTTGTTATTTGCTGTATATCGTCTACCCCGCTTCCAGGTCTAAACCCGAACTGCAGTGCATTTAACCACGGCTGGGTCCATCTGGCTAGGCGGTGTGCGCAAATGCGCGCTAAAACTTTGGAACCCACAGACAGTAGTGTGATGCCCCTCCACGAATTCTTATCCTTCCAGTTACCCTTTCGTTTCCAAATTGGTACCACTATACCGACTCGCCATGCCTCCGGCCACAATTCCGCTTCCCGTCCCGCGTCCGCCCGTGTGGCGGAGCGCCACGAAAACGTGAGAAACTCAAACAGCCGTTCGTGCAGTTCCCTACCCGCCCACTTGAAGTACTCTGCCACCATTCCGTCCACCCCTCCGGCCTTCCCATATTTCATGTCCCGAATAGCCCTCAGCATTTCTTCCCATGTGGGGAAATCCGCCAGTCCCGGTTCCTCGGGCCTATCCTCGACGTCCCCCCACACCGCTTCTGTGACCTGACCCCGCCCCGCTTGTATAGCCTCGAAGTGGTCCTTCCATGCTTCCAGCTCTTCCTTGCCCGAACTCCGGACCCGCCCCCCACCCCGTCTGTCCCCCTTTATGGCTGCCAGCAATTGTTTGACAATTTTAAACACTCCGTGGGCCTCCGGCGTTCCTATCAGTGCATCGGCTTCCTGCGCCCGTTCTCTCAACCAGTCCTCCTTCCACCCGCGCACACTCAGTCGCTTGCATCTCCTGGCCTCATGCAACCGCCTCCGGAATCTTGCCCGCACCGCGACATCCTCTTGTTCCCCCGCCGCTGCGTCCCTTAACTGCGCCTCCCTTATCCCCTCGTCCAGCTCCTGCAGCTCCTTGGCATGCAGCTGCAGCCACGGCGACCCCCCTGCATCTTTTACCACTCCGCACACCTCCAAGGCTACCCCACGACAGACCTCACACACCCTTTCCCACTTATACGTCTCATCAACGGTGCCATCCAATTCCTGTCTCAGATCCCTGAGACGACTTTCCACCAACCCCTGCCAGCGTTCCCTAAGCTCTTTTGCCTGCCCCCCTGATCCACGCAGCTTTGCTAAGTCCCGGTTTTGTTTGGATGCCCTTCGGCCCTTCTTAGGCCTCCACCATTTCCCAACCCGTAGCACGCATTCAACCGGATTATGATCCGTGTAGCCCGTCCATGAGCCCTTAACACTCGGACCGTCATACAGGATGCGACATGACTGAAGATGCCACAAGTCTTGCTCCCTAACCAAAAAATGGTCGAGTTCATGATCCGAGCGGTACCGTGGGTGCCGCCATGTACAGCGGCGCCTCTGCTTGAACCGACTGCCAGCCTCCCTGAAACCGTTTCGCTCACACCAATCCCGCCATTCTGCCCCCGGCTTGGTGACCTTTGGCCCCGCGAACGGGCCCATGATACTGTGTCCCGACCTACTCACATCCACGTTGTTGCCCATTTCGGCGTTAAAGTCTCCTGCTATGATGACCATGGTTGTAGGAGGAGCCGCCTCCACCAAAACAGACACCTCCTGTCTCAACGCTGTCCGCTCCCGAACTCCCGACGCGCTTGTAGGTGCATACACCGAGCAAATCCAGAGACCCCTACGCCAGCCCCGTCTGGGAATGCTAATGGCCGCTGCCCTTGTCCGCCTCTGGTACACCACCCCTCCGCCCTGTTCCCACCAATCATACCACACATCCGACAGCAAGAAGCCCACCATACCCCGCACCAACAGAAACCATTCTCGTCCCCCAAAATGGTACTCACGTATCCCATCCTCCGGAAACTGCAAATCCGTAAGACAAACAATGTCCCACTGCTGCTCCGCCATTCGAGTGAGCAGTACCTTGACTTTGAGCTCTTGGTCCGTCTCTCCCCCTGTTACCCCTAACCCTCTCATGTTCCATGTTGCCATACGTATGCTTGTATTGCACCGCCGAAGTCGAGCATGTTTCTCCCGCATCCTCCTCATGAAGCCTCCCGCCTGTCTACCCCGACGTACCGCCCGACTAACCCGCAAACGTGCCAGCCCCCTAGAGGCCTCCCGTGGAGCCCTACACCTTCCCATCCCGCCCGAGGCCCGCAAAACAGCGCTACCCTTCCTCCCGCCCCGTACCAACCCCCCCCCAGAGAAAGGTGAAAAGAGGAGTCATCTGTCTGACAAAACCGCCCTCTCCCTGGACCTCGCACCATGCGCGCCAACACCCGGGGGGACCCCCAATCCACCCACCCCGTACACAGCCTGAAGGCAACTTAGGGTCAAGACCCCGTAAACAAGAACCCACCCGCAGACGACAGCGTAAAGAGCCCAACCGCCGACCACACGGGTGGGCTAACCTCACTGGCGCACTCGGCACACCACCAGCAGCACCACGCACGGCAGAGGAGAAGGAGACCGCACCATGCGCAGCCCCCCCCAACGGCCCCCGCGACAGCTTTGAGCCAGAGTGGCCGAGGATGACTGGCATTCCGCCCCCTGGGGACCCTGCAAAAAATCCAAGGACGCAAGGACCAAGGACCAAGGACCCCCAAAGACCAACACCCTACAGAAGGGGGGTCCGACCATGTCGGAGTTGGATTAGCCCATGCTGCGTAACTCCACTCGCGCTCCCACCCTGACCCCAGCACCGTAAAAAACCCCCTGGTCCCATGGCACGTCATCCGAACCTAGCACAGGGAGATGCCCGTTGAACTCACGCGCAGACAAAAACCCCTAAACTAATGCAGCAGCATGGTTGCCCGCGCGGCGACCGCGTGGAGGTCGACGCCAGTCGTTGCCGCGCCCCTTGTTATGTATAGTGAATATTATAAGGGTAATATAACCTCATACCAACAGTCCTTAATCGGGATTATATTCAGGTTGCCCGGAACTTCTTCGCTATTGGGCTTCTTGCAGGGCTCAACCCAAATGCCCAAAAATGAGCGGGGGGAGGGACTGTATGGCGAGTACTATGAAATGCAAGCAGGAGGGCCCAACAAAGTAGATCTACCGACCCATCACCCTAAACCCTATACTTCCAACCACCCCAAACCTTGGTTGCTCTTTAACCCCCCAATTAAAGTTTAACTTTCAGCTCCCTTAATATGAGTACGAACCTAAACCCACTAACGTAACGACCCAAGTTTGCAAGCTTCCGCACAGCGGACCTGCTTGGCCGACGCCCGGCGAGCAACGATCGTGACCGCGGCCGTCTCATGCCTTGCAGCCAGCTTGGGAGAGAAAAAACTGGGTTTACTCTACACAGGTCTGATTAGGCTTGCGGGGGGGTGGGGGGGGGGAGGGGGGCGGGTGCCGTACAACCTAAGCCATGAACCCTAACCCTACAGGGCCTTGGTTTTGGGTCTGGGGATTGAAAGGGCGCAGGGATTAGGGTTTAAGGTTTAGGTTTCGGGTACATGAATGAAAAATGAAAACATGTATACATATGAATTAAAAATGAAATCATTCATACATGTGTGTGTGTGTGTGTGTGTGTGTTTTGACAAGCCAAAGACCCTAAGACCCTGAAACCCTAAAACCCTAAAACCCTGAAACCCTAAAACCCTAAAACCCTGAAACCCTAAACCCTAAACCCTAAACCTTACAAATGCCGTAGGCCCGGCGTGTTGGGCGCCCTGCCCGAGCTGTCGCTGCGGACTCGCGGAGAGCTGAGTGACACCTTAGGGTTTAGGGCTTGGGGTTAATGACACCTTGACTTAACTTAGTTTAGGGTTTAGGGTTTAAGGTTTTGGGTTTTGGGTTTAGGGTTTACGTTCTGTTGGGTTTGGGGTTTTGGATTGGGTTTAGGGTTTGGAGCTTAGGGTTCAGCAAGTGTTGGGGTTTGGGACTTGGGGCTCAGGGCCCAGGGGCTTAGCGCTTTAAGGTTTCGATCTACCGAGTAAGTAGGGTTGCTGAAAAGGAATGGAAACATAAAATGCCGTACCATACGGCTTACAGTGAATCCAAGAGTTTCCTAATCAAAGTACCCTCGTTTCTGAGCAGGCATACAGTACAAGGCGTATAGTATGCTGGTATGTAGTAAACCCTAAACCCTAAACCCTAAACCCGAAACCCGAAACCCTAAACCCCCAAGGTTCCTTTCTTCTCCCCACTACTCCCGAAGGCTCCCTAAGCTTGCCAAAAGGGGGGTTCCCGGGAGCCTCACCCCCATGAACCCCCCTCCCTCAAGAAGGTTAAGGGTTTAGGGTTTAGGGTTTGGCGCGGGGGTTTAGGGTTTAGGGTCTATAAACGGCAGGGCAGTACAAGGTCTAAAGTATGCAGTCACGGCAGTCTGGGCTGGGCCTTTGAATTCGGTTTTTAATCTTGAGCAGCGCGTTCTCCCTTGTACTCCAGTACCCAAACCCCAAACCCCAAACCCCAAACCCCAAGCCCTAAGCCCTAAGCCCTAAGCCCTAAGCCCTAAACCCTAAACCCTAAACCCTAAACCCTAAACCCTAAACCCTAAACCCTAAACCCTAAACCCTAAACCCTAACACTAAACCCCAAAAGTGGGGTATAACAAGGGGCCCCCGAAGGTCGCCTGAGAAGCCCGAAACTTCCAAACGACTTCAGGTGCTGCCTGGAAATCTCCTCAGACCTTTGCCCCAGGGTGTTTAGGGTTTAGGGTTTGGGGTTTAGGGTTTAGGGTTTAGGGTTTCAAGTGCAGGGCTCCTCAGTGTTTCGGGCTTTGGGGCTGTGGGGTTGAGCCAATTCCCTTCTTTGGGGGAGGTCTCTGGCAGAGTATACACTCCTGATGCAGCTGAGGGAACACAGAAGAGGGCCACAGTTTCACGTCGTTCTGCAAGTCCATAAGGCTTAGGGTTTAGGGTTTAGGGTTTAGGGTTTAGGGTTTAGGGTTTAGGGTTTAGGGTTTAGGGCTACATGTACTTTGGGCTACTTGGAGCCCCCTCTGGGCGCCGAAACCCTGAACCCTTCGGAACTGCAGCTTTTTTTGCACCAGGCGCAGCCGACAAGAAAGGCATGTCCTTGCCGGAGCATTCCTTGGCTCCAGCCACTGAACCCTAAACCCTAAACCCTAAACCCTGGACCCTGAACCCTAAACCCGAATTAAGCCTCTAAGGCCCTATACCGCGCGGCCCAGGGGAAGCCCAGCCCGGGTTCCCCTGGCGGCACACCCTCGCCCGCCCAGCGTCGATCTGCGCTGCCGCGCGCCTGCAGAGGGGGGGGGGGGGGGGTTAGGGTTTAGGGTTTGGGGTTTGGGGTTTGAGGTTTGGGGTTTGGGGTTTGTGGTTTGGGGTTTGGGTTTGGGGTTTGGGGTTTGGGGTTTGGGTTAGTGGGCTTTCGAGGGCTCTACAGGAAACCCTAAGCATACCATGAGTGACTCATAGGCTAAAATGGAATACTTGTCAGCTGGGTAGGGCAGTAACATCTCAGCTGATATTTAGCCTTCCTGAAAAGGGTTTAGGGCTTAGGGCTTAAGGCTTAGGGTTTAGGATGAGGGTGAAAGATAACAAGTCGAAACAACCCTATACCCTAAACCCTAAACAATAAACCCTAAACCCTAAACCCTAAACCCTAAACGCTAAACAATAATAAACCCTAAACAATAAACCCTAAACCCTAAACCCTAAACCCTAAACCCTAAACCCTAAACCCTAAACCCTAAACCCTAAACCCTAAACCCTAAACCCTAAACCCTAAACCCTAAACCCTAAACCCTAAACCCAAGCCCACACCAAAACCAAGCCAAGTGACGCGGTGAAGCCCCGACAAACTTGGCGATCGGGCTTCTGCCTTTGGCGGCGCGTAGTAACTCCTGCTCTGTGGTTGTCGGATTAGGGTTTAGGGCCTAGGGTTCAGGGGATTTCGAGGCTTTAGGGTTCAGGGTTTAGCGTTTAGGGCTTAGGGTTTAGTGGATTTAAAGGGTTTAGGGGATTTCGAGGGTTGTGGGATTTGGGGTTTTGGGTGTCTGGGAGCCTTGAGGAGTTTGGGGCAGGCGTTGCGGATTTGAGGGACATGCGGTGTGGGTTCTGAGGCTATACCCAAAGGCTCCTATGTAGTACCTTTTTGGGGTAGTATACTAGAATCCCCTATAACTAAACCCAAAAAGGCACTACATTGGAGCCTTTGAGTAAGGACTTTAGGGTTCAGGGCTTTAGGGTCTTTAGGGCTTCCGGCGTGCGTTTGATCCAGGGTTTTTGCGGCTCGGATTCTGGCGGCTCAGGGGCTTCAGGGTTTGGGGTGTAGGGTTGGGATGTTCCCCCTTATACTAACAGTCCTGTTTTGGGGATTATATTGGGGGGGGGGGGGGGTACTATAATCCTATTATGGACTGCTAGTATACGGGGGAGCATCCCAAGTTTAGGGTTGTGAGGTCTTTGGCTTGCAGGTGCTTCCGAATGTGGATTCAATGCTTCGGGAAGTCGACGAAATTTAGGTACGCCTGATATGAGGACCAACAAAGCGAGAAAAGGCAGCGGAAGGGTATATAGCGCTTATGGTTGAGGCTGAAGGGTAGTCTGAACTAAGGGTAGTCTGAACAAACCGAAGGCCGAAGTGGTGGGAGGCAATTTGAATAAACAACAGAGCCGTAAGCTGTAAACCGTGAACACGAACGCTTGAAACCGTTGAAATCCTGACGGGCCCCTTTTACTATACTAACTTTAGTTCAGGGAATGATAACCCAGTTCACAGCCTGCATAACCCTACTTATAACTCGGGGGCCCCTACTTGTAGGCCTAAACCCTACACCCTAAACCCGAAACCCTAAACCCTACAGCTCCAGGCACCGGTAGCTCTGATCCCTGGTCCTGAAGCGTCGGCTTTCTGAAATACGTTGAAGCGTCCTGTGCTGAAGGACAAGAGGGGGTTTAGGGTTTAGGGTCTAGGGTTTAGGGTATAGGGTTTAGGGTATAGGGTTTAGGGTTTACGAAAATCTGGGACGCCAAAACCCTAAACCCCAAATAGTAGGATCCCCTCCTACGAAGGACCCCCAGAAGGTACCCCGAATATGGTAAACCTCCAATAGGCTTAGGGTTGGGCGTATGGGGCTAAGAATTTACTTGGGTTCCCTTGGGGACCACATGAACCTGAAAATTGGGGTCGTATACCCTGTACTACTATAATTCTTATTAAGGTATATGAACCATAAGCCCGTTTAGGGTTCATTTCGTCCCCAAAGTCCTGTCTAAGGTTTTTGGCTTGGCGTTGGCAAATCCTACGCCGAATGTCTCACCACAACCCGGCCATACCCTCAAATCCAGAAGCCCAGAGCCCAGAACCCAGAACCCAGAACCCAGAACCCAGAACCCTAAACCCTAAACCCTAAACCCTAAACCCTAAACCCTAAACCCTAAACCCTAAACCTTAGCAGGCCCGCGTGGCAGCTGCAGGAGGTCGACGGAAGCGGGTGAGGAGGCCAGGCTGTCGAGATCCTTCCCGGTCAGGGTAGGAGTCTGCTTTCGGAAACCTCTTAAAAACCCCTAAACCCCTAAACCCTAAACCCTAAACCCTAAACCCTAAACCCTAACCCCTAACCCCTAAACCCTAACCCCTAAACCCTAAACCCTAGCCCTTAAAACCTAAAACCTAAAAAGGCATCTGCAGTGTTTGGGGCAGTTTGCAACACTTCGTAGTTGAACAAGCCAAAGGCGCCTTCAAGTTCGTGACTCTTCCAACCACTGTGTTTGCGGGTTCCCCTACTACCGCCCTCTATACTACAGGGCTTAGGGTTTAGGGTTTAGGGTGTAGGGTTTAGGGTTTAGGGTTTGGGGTTTAGGGCTACTACCCCGCCTAGGTCCCCCCCCCCCCTAATTCAGGCCATTTAGGGATATTATTCAGCCGAATTAAGCTTATTCATTATGGGGGGAACCGGGGGGGGTAGTATAGAGGGCCTCACGTGTCCGGAGTACAGCAATCGAGGATTCAGGGTGCAGGATGTAGGGCTTAGGATTCAGGCTTGGAGTTTGGGATTTAGGGTTTAGGATTTCGGATTAAGGGTGGAGGGTTTATAGGTATAGCATTAGTGTGGACGCGCTCACGCTTAGAAGACCCGCCAACCTCTTGCATTGGTGACTGATGCTACAGGTGAACGGAAGAAAGCGCCCAACCCTACACACCTCGTGAATCGCGTAAGCCCTGTAGTTTATCAGTTGAATCCAGAAACCGTTTAAACGCCGTGAACCTTGAAGCGCAACTCAATGTCCGTGCTGTAGGCTTACTATTACAAACTTCATTTGTTGGATCCCTACAGGAGTCGCCCAACAACACCCTAAGGGTCCATGTACCTGTATAGTATATACTTGGGCCTTCAAGGGGTTCCCATCTAGTAGCTTTTGAGGCCCAAGAACATTATTTAGTACATGGACCCTTCATGAACAGGTCGTCCGGCTGGAACCTCCCCTACTTCTGTCCGTTCTGTGGCAGATGGCGCAACTGCTGCAAGGTCTTTGCGCCGGCCAAGTGCTGGCGGCCGGCGCCGTCAACGCCGAGCTGGTTTTGTCCCAGAGGCCACGAGAGTTTAGGGTGCGTTCTGCGGTGTAGGGTTCAGGGTTCAGGGTTCAGGGTCTATAGGGTTTAGAGTTTAGGGTTCTGCGGTCCAGGGGTTGGGGGACTTATAGGGTTGCGGTTTAGGCTTAGGGATTACCATGTTTCGACCCAAGCCCACGATCGAGGTCCACGCGCTCGCACACACACACACACACACACACACACACACACATGGGCACATATACATAAATCAAGTATTTTTCTATATATATATATATATTTATTTATTTATTTATTTAGTTATTTATAGAGATAGTCATATTTGTATGTGTTTGTATATGTATATGTGTTTACTTACACTTAGACACTTATTTGCTGTTGCTACCCGTGGCGTGCATACAGACGCATTCTGCACGCATGCATACCAGGGTGGACTTCCATGCGTTATACACATATCCATATATAGGATTTAGGGTTTAGGGCATAGCGTTTCGGGATTAGTTCAGGGTGTAGGGCTGATCGGAAGTTTGCGCCTTGCATCGAAGCACTTGGAGAAGAGGCTTGTGCAGTGGGAGCAGTCTCATTCACACCATGAACCCGAAGCCCGGCAAAACGCCAGACCCTATAGATCATGGGTTTCCCTTCTACCCCCCTCTATAGCCTTAATTATGGGGAGAATTAGGGGGGTAGTATAGAGGGGGGTAGGGGAGCCCTGAATAGACCCCCTCATCCCCTAAATCGTACAAACCCTAAGGCTGCACAAGCTCAGTTGAACTTCCTGGTAACCAGGACACTCGAGACGATGACCTCCCTACAGCAACGAATCTCCGAATCTCTACTCATCCCCTCCGGTCTCTAAACCCCTACCTAATATAGGGGGCCTTAATGATTAGAATAGGGTTCTGAGGGATCTTACGGCAAAAAACTACGCAGGGAACATAAGGGAATTTGACAAGTAAGAATTCCGACTACAACCTAGTGCCCCGAACTGTCCAGCAGCTCGGGTGGCCAGGCAAACTTTGAAACAACAGGTTTAGGGTTCATAGGGTTTAGGGTTTAGGGTTTAGGGTTTCGGGTTTCGGGTTTAGGGCTTAGTAAAGTTTTGTGAGGGAAACAAGGTCCTCGAACTAGGCTTTAGATCACGGGAGCGAAGAACAAGTTGAAGCCTCCCCAAAAACAGCGGTCCCGCAAATTCCTCTGTGTGAGCCCAGAGCACGAAGCCTGGCAGCCCTGTGCACCTACCGGAAATAAGACAAACCCTAAACCCTAAACCCTAAACCCTAAGCCCTAAGCCCTAAGCCCTAAACCCTAAACCCTAAACCCTAAACGTTCACAACTTAAGCAAAAAAAATCGTAAGTCCTGGGGTGAGATGAAGATGTCCAGCCTCCAGGGTGCTTGGGCAATTTTTCGCAGGTCTAACCCTAAACCCTGCACCGTACACCCTACACCCTAAACCCTAAACCCTAAACCCTAAACCCACAGGTCTTTCATACACTCCCTAGGTTGCCCAGTAGCCTAGGATTAAAACGGGTGCCCTTTTGTTTCTTAAAGAGGTTTACAAGGGAACCTAAACCCCAACAAAGGGAATAAGGGTGCTACTGAGCATCCTAGCTCCAAAGGTCTTAACGGCCAAGCCCCTTTAGCACGCTTGCAACTCACAGCAACGAAAAGCCCCAGAGACCAGGCTTTAGGGTTTAGGGTTTAGGGTTCAGAAAGGACTGTTGTGAGGCGGAGTTGTTGGGTAGTTTTCAATCATGTAATCAGGTTTAGGGGTTAGTAAACGCTTACAACTTTAAACTTTTGGCCTCACAACAGTCCATTCATAAGTGGGAATCTTGACCATGATGTTTGGCATACATGATTTGGGGGGGGGGGGGGGGAGGGGGGAGGTGGTGGGGGGGGGGGGGGGGGAGGGGGTGGGGGGGGGGGGGGGGTGGGGGGTAGGGGGGGGGGGGGGGGGAGGGGGTTCCTTGCAACTTTGGCCCAGCTTGGCAGGAGTCCCCCCCGCCCCCCCCCCCCCCCCCCCCCCCCCCCCCACCCCCTCAAGCGTAACAGCCGTAGCTGTGCCACAGTTGGTTTGCTTTCACGTATTTCCAGACCTGTTATTCGGAAGTTCCCTGCTTTCGAAACACGGCCTTTGTTTCGAAACACAGCCCCTGTTTCGAAACATGGATGTCACAGCCACAACTGCTTCACAAAACGATGTCCAATCTCACCTTGGTTCCAGCGCTATATCTGAAGGTTGCGATGTCACATGTGCGAGTAAAAGGATATCTGCTCATAGTATTCTCGCGTCCCCGGGGCCTACAGGACATGTCTTGATGATGTGGGTGCTAATAATGTAGGGTTATAAGGTTAAAAATCCTATAGAGTTGAGCGTTATGACCCTAAACCCTATATGCTTTAAGGCTTAAGGAAAACAGTAAAGTGGTTAAATCACTGAGGGACTAGGGTTACGTTTTTGCAATGCCCTAAACCTTAAACTCTAAACCTTTAACCTCTTATAGGGTTTAAACCCTAAAGGGCTAACCCGGTAGGGTAGATAAACCCTGACCCGAAAGGGGCCCTATAGGGTTTAAGGCTTAACCTAGTTTGAATGCCCGAACTTAAATTTAAATCCCCAGGCCTTAAACCTCTGAAAACCTTATGCTTTAATGCCTAAACCTGATGTATTTAAGGTCTGGGCATTTATACATTCAGCATTAGAACCCTAAACCCTTTATGCTGTAAGGCTTAAGGAAAACAGTAGGATTTAAGCCTCAAGGCCTATAATATAAGGTTATAAGGTTCTAATCCTATAGAGTTTAGCGTTATAACCCTAAAGCCCATATGTTTTAATTAAGGCTTAAGGAAAACAGTAAAATGATTAAATCCCTGAGGGTCTAAGGTTACGTTTTTGCAATGCCCTAAACCTTAAACTCTAAACCTTTAACCTCTTACAGGGTTTAAATCCTATAGGGTTAAACCTTTAAAAACCTTATAGGGCTTAAATGTTTTAATGCCTAAACCTGATGTACCTAAGGTGTGGGCATTTATACCTTCAGCGTTATAACCCTAAACCCTATCTGCTGTAAAGCTTAAGGTAAACAGTAGGGTTTAAGTCTCAAGGCCTATAATATGGGGTTGTATCAAAACCCCGCGCAGTCGATTTTGAAAGGAATTGCCCGAAGCGTTTGGGCCGTGCTTCTGACTCGTAAAACGATAATCAAGAAAATAAACCGATAACTTTGTAGTAACAGGGCAGGCAGGCGCTATTCCAGTGATAAGCTTGTACTACAAATGCATGAAAACATTGAAAACCCAGCCTGCTCAGCTTGCACTACAAATCAACGGAAACCTAGCCGGTTTCAGTACTAAGCTTGTACAACAAATCAACGAAAACCCAATCGGCTCACGGGAACGTCGGTTCCAGTACTAAGCTTGTACTACAAATCAACGAAAACCCAACCGGCTCACGGGAACGTCGGTTCCAGTACTAAGCTTGTAGGATGAATAGATTTAACTCGGGGTTTTTGTACAACCCCATATAGGGTTATAAGGTTCTTATCCTATAGAGTTTAGCGTTATAACCCTAAACCCAAACACTATATGCTTTCAGGCTTAAGGAAAACAGTAAAGTGATTAAATCCCTGAGGGTTACGTTTTTGCAATGCCCTAAACCTTAAACTCTAAACCTCTAACCTCTTATAGGGTTTAAACCCTGAAGGGCTGCACTATAGGGTTTAAGGTTTAACCTAGGTTGAATGCCCAAACCTGAATTTAATTCAACCTTTAAAAGCCTTATAAGGCTTAAAGGTTTTAATGTCTAAACCTGATGCACCTAAGGCCAGGGCATTTATACCGTCGGCGTTATAACCCTAAACCCTCGTACATCTGCTTTGCACTCGCAACAAAATCAACTGCATCCAAAACACTGCATCACATTCAAAAAAACTCCGCCTCACAACAGTCCCCTCTCTTAGGGTTTAGGGTTTAGGGTTTAGGGTTTAGGGTTTAGGGTTTAGGGTTTAGGGTTTAGGGTTTAGGGTTTAGGGTTTAGGGTTCCCAGAGGCTAAACCTCTTCAGCCTGGGCCTATCAAACATGACCCTGAACCTAGAGAGGCCACCGGCCTCTTTATCCGTTACCCAGTTGTGCCTTTACATAGCCCCTATATAATACGCGAATAAGACTTCCCCCCCCCCCCCCCCCCCCCCCCCCCCCCCCCCCCCCCCCCCCCTTCCCCCCCCCCCCCCCCCCCCCCCCATACAAAACAGAAACCCTACTGAAAGAGGCCACCCTGAACCCTGAAGATCAGTGGCTCTAAACCCTAAACCCTAAACCCTAAACCCTAAACCCTAAAGCCCTCCAAGAACCTTAGTAAGCCACACAGCCTTCGCCTTGCAACTAGCTGCCCCACAACACCAAACCCATCAAACCTTACAACGCGTGCAAGGCTTCCTGAAGCTTCAGAATGGCCCTAAACCCTAAACCCTAAACCCTAAACTTGGCTGCCTTTCAAGGTCCGGCGGGGTGAAAGTTGGCTCTTGTGGCTGAGGGTTTCGGGTAAACCCTAAACCTTAAACCCTAAACCCCAAACCCTGAACCCTAAATCCGAAACCCCAAACCCTGAACCCCACACCCCAAACCCTGAACCCCAAACCCTGAACCCCAAACCCTAAACCCCAAACCACAAACCGCAACCCCTGAACCCTAAATCTGAAACCCCAAACCCTGAACCCTAAATCACTGAACCCCACACCCCAAATCCTAAACCCCAAACCCTAAACCCGAAACCCTAAACCCTAAACCCTAAACCCTAAACCCCAAACCCTAAACCCTAAAGCCCAAACCCCAAACCCAACCTAAAGTCCTTCAAGCACGGGTTGCGGCCTCCGGAGGGCGGCCTCCAGGTCAAAGCGATCCACGTAGCCATCGTGCCGGCCTGCAAACCCCATACGAGAAAGGTTTAGGGTTTAGGGTTTAGGGTTTAGGGTTTAGGGTTTAGGGTTAGGGTTGGGGCTGAGGATTCAGGATTTAGGGCTTCAAAACAGGGGCCTGCTAGTTCTAAACATGGTTTTGAGGGCCTTGAGTTTCGTGTTAAGTCTTACTTCTTACGTTTGATTTCCAATAACTAAAGTTAGTATACTAAGGGCGCCCCTATTTGTAAGAGCCCATGTGTGTAAGGTTTAGGTTATAGGGTTCAGGGGTTTAAGGAGTTTGCGAGGTTTCAGGGTTGCGGATTTAGGATGGCTTTGGAGGGTTTCCTGCTTAGCAGCTTTAGTATAGATGGACCCCAGTTCGCGCTCAGGGTGTGGGGTTTGGGGCTTAGGCTTTGGAATGTAAGGTCTGGGGTTTGGGGTTGGATATAGGGCCTTCAGGCCTTACGGTTTTCGGGTCTACAAATAACCGCTGAGCCCTAAGCCCTTGTTCGGGCTTTGGGCCCCTAAACCCTAAACCCTAAACCCTAAACCCTAAACCCTAAACCCTAAACCCTAAACCCTAACCCCTAACCCCTAAACCCTAAACCCTAAACCCTAAACCCTAAACCCTAAACCGCTGCTGCCGAGCAACTGTGAGGACCCAGGAAGGCAAGGGCCTCGTGGAACCTGGCGAACATGGCAAAACTCTAAGGGTCCATGTGGGGGTTCCCGGAAATTAGGGTTTAGGGTTTAGGGTTTAGGGTTTAGGGTTTAGGGTTTAGGGGTTAGGGTTTGGGTACCTTACTGGGGTCCTTATGAAAAGGGGATCCTATACTATTTGGGGGTCTATTTTGGAGGCCTATTTTCGGAAACCCCCATGTGCATGCAAAGGATAGGGGTGTGGGGTTTGGGGCTTAGGGTTTCAGGTTTACGGTTTGGGGTTCAAGGTTTCGGGGCGCATACATACGGTTTGTGGGTAGAGTTTGGAGATTAGGGCCAGAACCTCAGAGCAAGCAGGGTTGCTGCTAAGGTACTTTCCGCAACATGTGAACAAGTGGCATATAGACTCCTTGGTAACACAGCAACACAGTAGTTGCTTCTCCTTCTTTTGGATGCCTAGCTCCATGGGAAGTAAAATCTAGAGCACAGGAAAAAACTGTACACAAGACAACGAACTACCACGAAGGGTCCAGGCAAGCGAGCTCTAAACCCAAACACTGAACCCCAACACCCCAAACCGAAACCCGAAACCCTAAACCCTAAACCCTAAACCCTAAATCCTAAACCCTAAACCCTAAACCCTAAACCCTAAACCCACCCACCCCCCCCCCCCCCCCCTTAAAACCTAAACCCCAAGCCCCACCTCTCCACACTCGGAAAGACATCTTCCCATGCAGCAGAAGTGTAGAGGCGCGGAAAGCCTTGTAGCCTCAGAGGAGAGTGTAGGGTTCAGGCTTTGGGGCTACAGGTCTTGGGGTGTAGGGCTTAGGGTTTAGGGGGATTTCTGGATGTCTGGCAGAGAGCGTAGAAGGGGCGCAAGGTTCAGGATTAAAACGTTTAGGGCTCAAGATGTTGATTTCATTTCTGTTGCGTAGTGCTCCAGGTTTGGGACCACCCGGTGCAGAGCATTGGCTTCTGATGGCTTTCTAGCACTCAGTCGTTTCCGATCCAAACCCTAAACCCTAACCCTAAACTCAAACCCTAAACCCCAAACCCTAAGCCCTAAACCCTAAACCGTGTGCATCATAAACTAAACTTCACAGGGCTCATGCTTGGGAACCTCGATTTGGGGGTTTACGATATTAGGGGTACCCTTTTGGGGTCCTTATCTTGAGGCGAATCCTACTATTTGGGGGTCTATATTGGGGTCCCCGATTTTCGTAGACCCCCATGTTGCATCATCAGGAGTTCGGAAATTCTAGGTTGATGGATACGGAGAACCGGAGTTTAAGGAGTCTGGCTAAAGTTTTTGGAAATAGTGACGCCTAAGCCCCAAAACCCATCTGTGCGAAAGTCTGCAGAAGCCAAGAGGCCGTTCCACATTCGGGAAAGGCCCGTCCAGTGGCTCACCGAAGAGACTGACATGCGCATGCAGCCTTGGCTGGCGCATCTTCGACAAGACCAGCGAGTCTCGGGTTTAGGGTTTAGGGTTTAGAGGGGTTGCAGTTCGGTGGGTCGCAAGAATTCAATTGCGCACCTAGCTTGGGCACCTACCAGGATGGGCTATTAGGGCTTAAAGTCCCCATAATGAACCCCATTAAGGGCCTTTTAAGGGATTATAGAGTATAATAACCCATCCTGGTATGAGAGGTCGGGGCCTCGTACTTCATGTGTGGTTTAGGCCACTGCTTTGTTGCTTACTTGTTTGTTGAGGGATTCCTGAAGACGAGCGCCTGCCTTGACGATCTCCATCTAGGTTTGGGGTTTAGGGTTTAGGGTTTAGGGTTTAGGGTTTAGGGTTTAGGGTTTAGGGCTTGGGGTTTAGGGTTTTGGGGATTTAGGGCTTTAAGGATTTAGGGCCTTAAGGTGTTATAAGGGTTTAGGATTTGAGGGTCTTAGGGATCCTTAACTGTGAAGGTCAGTCAGCATGCTCAATGACCCAACGAAAGCTTCAAACGTGCAACATCCACGCGTGTTACCCATCTCCCCAGCACCCAAAAATGAGGTGGTTGCATCAGTTGCATCCTTACGGCTTCGAAAGATGTCCATATCATGAAGCCCAAAACCCAAAACCCTAAACCCTAAACCCCAAACCCAAGACGCCCTCGACGCTAAGACCTTCGTCCCTCTTGAATTCAAGGCAGCTTTTCGGAGAGCTGTCGCGCAATTCGAGCAAGTACTGTCAAGTTCTCGAAGTAGTACCTCGGAGAGCCCCTGGAAACTTCTGGCTGCTTCTTAATAGGGAATGAGGTACCCATACCATCCCTTAAACGGTATGTATAGGGACCTAATTCCCTCATTCCTTACTGAGAACCAGGATGACTTGCTGTGTAGCTTGCTTGCAGGGCTTACAAGTTTACGGCTATTAAACCTATCAAGCCTACAGCAGCAAGCCCTACACATCCCTATGAAACTGTTTTAAGTTCTAAGTCACAATTGCTAGCCCTAAAAAAATGCCTATGAACCCAGGTTTAAGCTCTCAGCTCTAATTACTTTCTTTAAAAACCCCATGAATCGTATCAACCCTGTGAACCCGATATGTCCTATTCACTCTACAAGCCATACAAACCCTACAGGTCCCTGAAGCCCTGCAAGGAGACGCTATAAAGTGCGTGTAGATACACAAGGCATGCGGATTAAAGGTCTCCTCTAGCCATGCCTCCTAAGATCCCCTAGAACTCCACCCCGAAACACTAAACCCTAAACCCTAAACTCTGAACTCAAGGCTTCAGCCCCTACAGTGGAGGGACGGCGCTTACGCCCCTCGACCTCGATGGCGCAAGCCGACGCCGGGACATGCAAGCCTCCTAAACCGCCTAGCGGCCCCTAAGAACTGAGACGCCCCTGCGACCCGGTTCTTGTTCATAGTTGGGATAATATTAAAAGCTGAATTGCTATTCCTTATTGGGTTTACGTACCCTTAAAAAATCTTAAAAATGTAAAATGTTCCCCAACTATCACAAAGGGTTCTGGGCCCTCAGAAGACCCAGAATTTGGAATATCATGAGTCACTTCTGTCATCAAAATCTGTGCAGAATCATTACTGAAATCGGCCACTTTTCCCGAAGCCTGGCTACCCACCCACACACTCTAAATAAGTGCTTTGTGAAAGAAGCCCCTCTGTCTATCTCACACCAAACCCTAAACCTTAAACCCTAAACCCAAAACCCTAAGCCTAAACCCTAAACAAGCCCTAGCATGCGCTCGGCTGGCCTCTCGCGCTTCGAGGAGCCGCGGATCTTTGCCTAAAGCTGCTGCTAGAAAGGGGACGAACTAGGTTTAGGGCTCAGGGCAGGCTTAAGGCTTAGGGTGTCGGGTTCAGGGTTTAAGGTTTCGGGTTTAGGGTTCGGGTTTCGGGCTTAGGGTTTAGGGGTGAATATGGAAGCACAAATTCGTGGAGCCCGGGGAAAGCTTCAAACACAATGCTTGCGCGCGAGAAAAAGCGCGGAAAAAAAAAAAAAACACCTGTGCACACTTACTTCGCTCATGTAACTCTTAAAACCAATACGCGCGTCTAAAGATCATGAGTTAAAGGTTGAGCAGACCCCAAGCCAATCTAACTTCGCACCCTCTGCAGCCACTAGGCTTAGGGTTTGGCGGTGCCTTCTTCGTCGTAAGCATCATCTTAGGGTCATGGGTCATAGGGTTTAGGGAAGCTAGGGTTGCAGGGATTAGGGAAGCTAGGGTTGTAGGGATGAAGGCTTCTGGAAGTTATGGGTTCAGTATCTCAAGCTCAAGCATTCAGGGAAATCACAAAGCCCAAGGGGGCCTAAACCCCAAAAACCACCTAAATCCTGAGAGCCAAAGGCCCCTAAACCTTAAAGCCCAAGGCCCAATGCCCTAACCTAGGCCCAAAAGCACAAACATGGTGGCCAAAGGCCCAAATTTCGCGGCCGCAGGCCCAAGCTTTGAGGCCAAAGGCCAAAATTTCGCGGCAAAGGCCCCCAATTCACGGCCCAAATTTCGCGGCCAAAGGCCATTGCTCGCGGTCAAAGGCCCGAATTTCATGGTCAAAGGCTCAAATATTGCGCGAATCTTCATCTCTCGAATATTCACAAGTCTTCCCTACGAAAATCTTTCGATTTTTCTTATCTTGACGGTGGCGTCAGAACAGTTGCATGCAGCAAATATCAATATTATTCTTGTGAGGCGCTTCGAAAATCAGTATGAAATAAACCAATCTCTGAATATAACAATACAGAAAGAACGATGTGTATGTAAGTTATATAAAAATACACTCGCATGAAACAGTAGACATGTTCTTATCGTGGGAATATCAGTCGGTGGCCACAGCCAGGAGTCCTAATCACAGCTGCCCCCTGGGGTGCTCTCAAAGTGACCATGCTATTTGACACAAGACCGACAACACGACAAAACGGACAGTTTGAAGCGCCATAGGGCAGCACGCCAAACTTGTAACAGCCATGCCCTTTCTTGGCGTCAGTCTTTCGCCGGGACCATGGCAAAAGCGTACATGGCAGGAAGGGGTCCGTCTGCGCTGAGCCACCAAAACTCCCACCATCGGCGAACAAACTTCACTAGCCGCTGCCACTACCACACATATAGCTGCACCTTGCCGCTGCCCCGAGTGCAACTGCCGAGGCAGGACTGCAGGGGCAGCAACCTGACGAATCACAAAGTACTTTGGTTCTGCACGCAGCTTGGGGAATTGGTGGCATGCAGCAAGAATTGCCTCCAACCCTTCCATTCGTACGAAGTCTGCTCCTCCTGAAACCATGGTCCCTCAACTTGCACTGTCGCTGCAGGTCACCTCCTCGATCCGCTGCCGGAGACTCACTGCCTTCAAATGGTGAGTCTCCCTGTCAGCCCGTTCACCTCGGCGCTTCACGATTTGTTTCCCCAGCCACTTTTCCAAGCATGCCCTTGAGCTCAGAGCATCCAAAAGCTACGATCCAGGTCGTCACATGCTTTAGCTTCGTCGGTTCCGAACACCTCTTGCCCTGAAGCCTTGACCCTGAACTGCGGCGCAGTCCGGGTTGGACTCTTGAATGTGTACCTTTGTGTGTGGACCCTATTAGTTCTCCGGTCATGAGCTTTAGCTCCACGTCTACACTGCTGATGGGCTCTTGTTTTTTTTCTTTGTAAAGGGTGCGTTTGGCGAGGACTACTTCAAGACGTATGGGAGGGTGATCGAGACGACGCTGCTGCACGAGAAAAAGAAGCTTCAGCGAGGCCCGCTTAGTGGAGAATTGTGTTGAAACGGGGTGTAGGAGAAACAGTGCTGGCATGACAGAGCACCGCGCAGGCAAGGCCTATGTCACGATCCAGACTGAAGACATGGACGCATCCGTAAAGGCCCTGAGAGGCCTGCCGTGAGCCCATGTGAAGGGGCTTTAGGGGAGCTGAGGGGTTTTTTTGGGCACTTCGTCCCCACTGCATCCATCTGCACATGGAGACACAAGTCCACGCTCTGAAGCTGCATTAGTAGCTGCATGTCAGCGCCTTACGGCCAAATGTCCACCCGCTTTGATGGCGCCGCACGATCTCAACCAAATCCTGCCGTCAAAGCTGATGTCACCTCATCTGCCGTCTACCACCAGAACCACATCCACCATCCGCATCCTCCGTTCCAGACCCCCTCCCTCCCGGTCCGCGGACTCCAGAGTCATCTGAAGCGCACTTCTTGAAGTGAAGGGACGCACAGCGCGAACAAGCCCCTCCGGCCTGAGGTATGCCAGAGGCACTTTGCAAGATACGGCACAAAACACAGAAAGCAGAGAATCAGGCGCCCACAAAGACTCGACGGGCTCCACCTGCGGCACCTCCGAGGTGTTCCCTAAACCCTAAACCGTAGGCCCCAAACCCTAAACCCTGCGCCCTCAACCCTAACCCCTGGGCCCCACACCCTAAACCCTAGGCCCTAAATTGGCTGTTTTCACAATGGCTGTTAACTGGTGGTGCCTTCGCGTTCTTTCCCAGCTGGTCAAACTTTTCCGCCAACTCCTTGAATGACAAACGTGCACACCAGGCCACATCACTGGGTAAGAAGAAGTCACATCTCCCCAAGGACACGCTGTGAGGAGGAAGTCACATCATGCGGCGTGAAGTCACATCACACGCACAGCTTTCAATACCAAATCCCGCCTAATCCCCAAGGACACGCTCTCCCACGCAAGCATTGAGGGTGATTGTGAAAATGAATGAATCAGGCCCCATGCCCCACGCGCAGGAGAAAACATGATTTCACGCATTCAAGTCCCGGGTTTACATACCCCATTTGAAGCCAATCCCCATCTATACGCGCTCGCAGGATAAGTAGGACAATGAACGCTGATGGCCCCCACATGCAGGATTTCTGCATTCCGGCTACCGTTGAAGCTAGATTCGCAGGACCTTAATTCGCCCCAGTGTGCACGCTGCAAAACCCTTGTTGGAGGAGACCTCCATCAGCGAGCCATTCACCATAAGCATACACTTCACACTGAACCTGTGTCGCGGCACCTTCGCCCCAGTGTACACGCTGCCGCGATGCGACGTTACACCGAAAGATGCGACTTCAACTCCCCCCCCCCCCCAGCCCCAGGACAACCAAGGCACGGTTAGGCGCTGGAGCAGCACCACTTGGTTTGCTTCCAGCTGGCTAATCCGCTCCTGGCCGGACCAACCCAAAATGCTTTGGTAATCGCGGGTTCAGAGGCTTCACATAAGGGCCTGAATAGATAGAGTAAGGCTCTGGGGTACAGCATCTTATAGTAGACCTGTACTGCAACCCCGCCTCCCGCTCGACTGCTCGCTCATCTCGCACTTGCAGATCGATGGCCTTCGCAGGTGATCAATCACCCTTCCAACCCCAAAGGCTGCAGATCGCTGCAGGCCCTATGCAACGCCTTCTGCACTTCAACTTCAAAGTTCACGCCGTTGATGTTCAGATGTGCACCTGGCTGGGCAGCAACTCTGTGAGCCCAGGGATCTTGCCTGGGACATAAACCCTGAATGATGACGGGGTTATGGTCGTTGCAGGTCCTGGAAAGTCGACTCAGCCGACTTCCGCATGCAGCCACAGCCGTCAACCCTACAGCCTTATGCCCAACACAGAGCCCAGAAACCTAGCGCACCAACTTCAGGGTTTATAATTAGGGCTGAAGCCAAACGGTCGTCTGGATTCCCATCCGAGCCAGCCTCGCCACTTCCCACCCCCGCAATAGGAACCGAATTCAAACTTAGTCGCTGCTGCAAACCTATTCTCTCCCTCTGTCTCTGCCGTTGCATCCAGAGGCATGAGGCTACCTATGCTCCCCGATTTATAGTCAGCAGTCCAAAGGGTTTGTGTGCCCAAAACTTCATTAACCTACCAAAAAAACTCTAAGGATGACGCTTGTCCTGGCCTCCAAGCTAGAATTTGCTGAAACGCAGATGAACATTTCCCTTTCCCCAGAAAGACACTTTGTCTTCTAAGTTGTGTGTTCCCGGATTCTTTTTGTATGTCTGGTAGGGGCTTCTTGTCGTTTCCCTTTCAACTTTTCATCCGCCCAGACACATTCTAGTTTTTTTCCAGAAAAAGGTTTCTTTGACAGGTTCTATCTGTCCACAGATTTGTTCTTTCGCATTTTCTTGTCAATCTGGGTGGGTATTGTTGGCAAATCTAGTCATGCAGTGACAAGCAGGACAGGATTTGGCAGTGCTTATGGCACCCTTGAACTAAAGTCTGCGAAGGGTGCGAAGTTATACTGGCTTTTGGTCTGCTGAGCCCTCAACCCGAAACCATAACCCACAATCCGAAACCCTAAACCCCACCATATGGATCCCTTCTCAGACACCACACTATGGAGCCCTTCTCAGATATTCTACCATCTCAACCCTAAACCCTAAATTCGGGACCCTGAACCCTTCGGAAACCTCTATAGACCCTGGGCCCCAAAACCCTTGAACCTCAGGACCGCGTGAAGCCCCCGTACATTACATCCCAAACTCTAAAGCCTAGATCCTAGACCCCTAAACCCTAAACCTTGAACAAAGCCCTGAACCCTGTACACTAAACCCTAACCCTAAACCCTAAACCCTGAGCCCTATGAGCCTTACGTCCTCACAGAAAACCAGAAGACCTGCCTTAGAAAGCAGGCGAAGGTGCCACTGCGAGAGGTTCGGTCGCCAGGGCATCCCCTTGTCTCCTGAATGGCGTCAAGGGAGCTTACGGGGTTTAGGGTTTAGGGTTTAGGGTTTAGGGTTTAGGGTTTAGGGTTGTAAGGTAACCTAAACACCTTGTAAACCCTAAACCCTATAAAGCCTAAACAGCATAAACCCTGTAAACCCTATAGCCTATAGGCCCTACAGGCCCTACAGGCCCTATAGACCCTATAGACCCTCTAGATCCTATAGACCCTATAGACCCTATAGACCTATAGACCCTATAGACCCTATAGACCCTAAAAACCCTAAAAACCCTAAAAACCCTAAAAACCCTAAAAACCCTAAAAACCCCAAAAACCCTAAAAACCCTAAAAACCCTAAAAACCCTAAAAACCGAACCCATTTAATCCCTAGACCACCGAGCTTTTAAACCCTGGAAGCCAGTGGGTCAGGCTTTGGGGCTGAGTTGCGAATTTCGGGGAACTACCCTAAACCCCAAACCCTAAACCCTAAACCCTAAACCCTAAACCCTAAACCCTAAACCCTAAACCCTAAACCCAAAACGAGGGTGTCTTCAGTGGTGTGGTTTCAGGACGTCGTTGTTTCTTGCTTTTTTTCAAGCTCCCTAAAAGACCCTGGCCTAAACTGTGTGAAGCGGAGCCCGAGTTGCTCTAAGAGAACCACCCCGCCATGAGCTCGTTGGGGGTTGAGGGCTTAGGCTTTAGGGTTGGTTGAGGGTTTAGGGTTTAGGGTTTAGGGTTTCGGGTTTCGGGCTTTGGGCCGAATGAGGTAGAGGGTTGTGAAGGTTGCAAGGTTAAAGTCTTGGGGCTTTCAGGTTACGCGCTGAGCGTTCTACGACACGTGATTCACCTTCGGCTGTGTGTTCTAGGGG